AATTGGGTGGTTATGATAAGGTTTGTCAAGTTTGATTGGGATTGAAAACAACTCCAATTAACCTGATTACCAATTGGACCAAGGAATTCAAATCTGAAGTGGGTAAAAACAGGAGGGTTACCCAATTTCTGATCTTATTAAGTTGGATTTGGATTTCAAAAGCCAATCTGTTTATAATTGGCTTGTATCTCTGGTCAGTTCATTTTTATGAATAAAATGTAATTTTGGGGTCATTTTTACCTTGATTTATTAATGATTTATAATATTGGAGCCCAATCCCGTTCCATCTGAATCTGGTGGATAATATTCAACTCAAAATCCAAATATTAACTGGATCAGTTTCAAATATAGGTAGATCTTGTACAATTTCAACCGGCTTACAGCCATACTTAGATGCAGATACTGGGTATAACCTCATGTTGCACACAAAGTAACATAAACACATTCAATATTGTCGATGGCAAGTCAGTTCTAACTATTAATGATTTCTAATATTACCGTGTAGTTGGGAATGACTCGTTCTTATGGAAATGGGAGACGATTGGATGACAGCAAGGCACTGGCTGAACTGGTTTTCAGGTAAATTTGTAGTTCTTTGTGGCTCCATGTTTATTTGTTGAATTGAATTGGAATGTTTACTCATTATCATTTCATTCTGATCATGAAGATTGGAGATTATTTGGACGTGGTAATCTTGTAGACAAGAAGCTTGTGGAACTGATGATGCTTAGTAACGGTCTAATGGACAAACACAGTTGATATCATTTCATTCTGATCATGAAGATTGGAGATTATTTGGACGTGGTAATCTTGTAGACAAGAAGCTTGTGGAACTGATGATGCTTAGTAACGGTCTAATGGACAAACACAGTTGATGTCACAAGATAATCTAGTAGATAACCGTGGATTCATCTTGGAATGGTGCTTCACTTTTAAATGTTGGTCAGACCACAAAACATGTCCCTTTAAGTGTCATGGACGTGTATCTTTGTTCTGAAAACGTGTTAAGTGTTTAAACTTAAACTAATCTGCTTTGAATTTGAATCTTTTTGAGTTTTCTCAAAACCTTGTCTTCTTTAACAATGGAATTTTTAACCAACACGAGTGATTTCTAGTCACCGAGTCAGTTCTGAATAATACTTTTGTTACCAAGTCAAGTCTACACTCTTCACACTTCAACACCGTTTAGATAGCCAACCAGTTTCAACTTTCAATTAGCACAAGTGGAGGCACTAAACCAGCCTTTTTTTTTCTTCTAGTTAAAATAACATAAATATGAGCCTCAGTATTGGAGCGATAGCTTTTTAATTAAATAGTCAAAACAAAAATCAAAATGTGAAAACGATACAAGAAATTACTCGGTCTAATACGTTTTTTTGGGGTGTGTTCATGGAATGCATGGAACTACACAACAGGGGTAGCCTAACCCCTTAACCCGCCAACCCTGGTGGCAGTGGCATTTGCTCCCAGGTCTCTGCTACGAGTCAGAGATCATATCAACTGAGCCATAATCAGAAGCCCAAGAAAACAAAAATCTACTATCTATACCGTCTTGTAGGCTTGTAGCTTGTTTATTGTTATTTGTGTTCAATGAAACGCGCACAATCAAGGACAGAGGACTCACTATTATGCCATACATACAATTAGTGAAGGACCGTTTTAATTAATTATGAAGAGCATTGGAGTGAGAGGTGATAACAATTGTCATTGGATATTAGACCGCTGAATTTTGTTCCTGGTCCGTGCTATGTTGAGAGCTAGATCATATGATGTAGCCCACCCCCATATAATTGGCTCAAGGCTTAGATGATGATGCACAAGTACAACCATCATTTAATGCATTTCTAGATGAACAAATAATAATCCGCGTGCTAATTTGCTTTGGCGCCCGAGAATACCCCATGACCTATGAGTTCCTTCACCCAGTATTCGTAGAGCAAATTTCAGGCAAAAGAACTTTGCTATTCATCTAAAATAAATGCTTAGAAATGGAATTTTCTGAAACTAAAAATCATACAAACACCTTAAGAGCACGACCATCCAGCCACATATTGGACTCATCTTCGTTCTTTATGGGCATTTTTGAAATACAGAAATAAATTTTACACGGGCTCATTAATCCGAGCAAAACTTCAATTCCATGCAAGTTATGGGATT